AAAAATCACTGAAAATTGTATGCCTTCGAAAATATGTTCGTGCTCTTACCGTTTCCAGGAATATCTACGTCAAAACACTTTCTATACAGCCAGACAGTGTCCACGCCCTCCCCAACTACTTCTATTAATCTCCAAGCCTTGTTGTCAGGCAATGGGAATCGGCAAGCAATCAAATATGATCCTACCTTCATCTCATCAACCTTCATAAGAATCTCTTCCATCTGAAATAGATACACTGCTCGTGTGACTGGATAAATCCTAACAAATACGAAAACTAAAAAAAAAAAAATACAAAAAATAAAGAAAAATAAAAATAAAAAAAGGAAAAGTAAATAATACTCGCACCACAGAGACAATCTAATCGAAAAATAAAACTATTTTTAAAAAAACCCTGCTATTTCAAATTGACAAACATTTCTTCAAATAAAAGGTTATTTGAGTCATTGCTAGAATATAACTTAAACAAACTGTGATGACAAGTTGAAAATTTCAGTCATCAAAATCCTCTCCTGGTTGTCGGTTTTCCTACTCGTTTTGCTTAACCTTTACCCAAGAAAAACAGGCCGTCTCTTCCTCCTCTTCCCTCTCAACGAGATAGGTAGAAAATTGAAGTGATTCAAAAGAAGTTGTATGTACATATATATATGTATATATATATATATATTACCATGGTCTCAGCTCCAAAAATCACTGCAGTTTTATAACCTTCCAAATTTTCTTTGAAGATATCCTTCCTGTAAAATTTGGCTATTTGAGACAAACCCATTTTCCTGGCTTTATATTTTGAATACATCATCAGGATCGGATTCAATTCTAATCCAACGCTTTGGTGACCAGATGCAGCACACTGTAAAACCTAAAACATGGAGTTTCTCATGAATTTGTTCACAGAAAAAAAAACAGTATAAAATAGGCATCGCTTTGGGTGCTTAAAGTAACCAAAATTTGTTAATTGTAAAAGGTGTCAGAGACCCGTCCAACTAAAGCAAATCAACCTGCTGCATCTGACCCCGGAGTGGCAAACAGTTAATACGAACAGAAAATACATTAGCATAACCATAAACACATCGAAAAAATAATGACTACAACCAATAATTTTACATATACATATATTCAGAATTGCCATGACACCAACAGTACTTCCAACCACTGTCTAACACGTATAAGAATTCAATTGAAGGAAACCATAATAACAATAATAATAACTTGGAAAATAACAAAATTAAGCTCTTGAGTCAAGGAGAAATCACATTACAAACTAAATACACTATAAAATGAAAAATACATACTGTTGAAACAAAATCTATTAATTCCCTGATCGACATTTCATCAAAAGTGAAAATCGAGAGTCATGAAAGATCGCTACATTCTTCGGTCATATTATTGCAAAATGAGGGACTCGTTAAAGCAAAGAAAAAGGCAACTTTACAAAAAACAAAAGATTTTATACACATAACCGAGTTTTTGAAAGATTTAATACCTGGAATCTTAATAAGGTAAAGAACCCTTGAAGGAATATTTCAAAGTATAATAAAGAAGTCCTTTACATTTCCAAGAAAAAAAAGGATAGAGATTTCTACAATTTCTGAGACCATACAATATCCAGGCAAACTTAAAACTTATCGACTCCAAAATAAATTCAACACTCAAATGTCAGTGCTTTGGCTCTGCAGAGGATGTAGCAGGACCACTCATATTTATTGCAACTCTCGGAAACTTACGCAAAATCTGGCGAGTTGCTTTCGCAGCTTTCCGTTGTTTCTTCACCCCTTCACGAAGCTCTTGCCCACGGTGCGTTACACCGTCTGGCTGATCCATTTTAGCTATTAGAATCTCAAGAACACCTTTTTTGATCGGTTTAACCGAAATATCCCTAACAGCACGAAACTGACCACAATTATTAACATGCTCATTCTCCAGTCGAAAATAATTCCAAACAAATCGACGAAACACCTCCAAAGGCGCGGTAATACACGTCAAGTAATCCGAATCTAAGGTCCAAGCCTCCCCTAAAGAAACGTTTAACACCCACGACAAACGTAATACAAAATCTTCTACAATAGCCAAATAATAGTACCACTTGCTACCATATATCATCTCTTCACGCAAGAATGGCGAATCTTTTGGCGCTCTAGAGTCAATAAGGCCCCAATCCATAAACACATCCCACAAGAAAGTGTATGTAAAACTGATAATATACGCCAGAATCCATAGATAAAAGAAAACACTAGTCGTCGTCGGATCTACTGTTTCAGCCCAATGGTTCAATGACTTGAACATGACGACAAGAAAAGTTGTAGCGTACTTGCCAGCATTAACAAGATGTGGATGAGCACGTTGAGTATCGCGGAACCGGCGCAAGCATTGCAAAAAACGAACTAAGGCTGGTATTACAGAAACGAAGGCCCGAACACCTGACGCACTCGTGCACTTGTCTCTTCCAGTATTGATATCGACAAATCCCCACGGGACATCCTCAGAAGCGGTGACATTGACAGTTCTTAATGTTAACCAACCATTAGAATAATCTACTTCGGTGGAGTAAAAACAAATGAAGTACTGCAAGTCGAGGAAACTTGTGGTTAAAGAATTCATCTGATCCCCAAGCCAGAAATCAGCGAAAGTGACAAAATGAAGTGGCGCAGTAAAACAATTGAAACAATGCTTTATCAACCAAAATCGACTGTTCCTCCTGAAAATTTTCTCAGGCTTCTTCAAAGGATTGAACATGATCACTACACAAACAACCATCAAAACTAAAGGGAACAAAAAAGGAGGCAAATGAATCAGTGGGGAGTAAAAATAACCCAGAACACCTATAGACCACAACATACACATAAAAGAAGCGATCTCCATCAGTGATTGATAAGAAAGATGATTTCTGGGATCAACTTCAAAAATTAGAACGTGATTTACACCTGCCCCAGCCCAACCATACATATTTACACCACATAAAAGAACACTGAGAAAAAAGAGCAGCATACCACGAAACAAACGAACTGCTACCCATTTTGGTTCTTCAGGCCTTACAGCAGATGCCAGATATGTGAATAATATAACAACCCATAAAATAATCGAAGAGCCTAGAAAAAACCCCAATAAAAATGTTGTTGAAGCCTTCTCTTTCTCACTTAATGGAGGCACCTTTAAGCGTTTCATTCCTGCCTGACGATTTCCACCTTCAAGTTCATTAATTACACAGGTCTCCACATTACTTATCAACGTTTCTATTTCTCGGTTCAAATAAAATGATGATTTCTCTACTCTCGTAATTCTCCAATCCAAACCTCGTTCGTTTCCAGTAAGTTTGTCATGTTTCTTCAGAATTTTACGAAAACCCAAGCCGTTTAATTGCTGATAATTCTGTACGAGAACTAGCGACAAGTAAAATTCTGAAAACGCCAATTTTAACTGCTGTGCAGTTTTGGCTCTCTCACGGTTCATATTCCTTGCTGTCCCTTTTCCAGCAAACCGCCTTCTTAAACGTGATGCCCCTACGCCAATTTCATTTCGCTGCAGTTGTTCCATTTCCTTAAATGCCAACATTTCTGTGCTTAGCTCGTGATATTTGCCCTGTGCTTCAGCTATCTTTTGGCTGAAGAACAAGTTAATTTTCATCAACTCTTCTTCACATTGAGCGAAAAATTTCTCGTCCATTTGAGTTATATATTGCTGACGACTGTCCTCATCTGCTGGCATTTCCAAAAGCAACTCATATAATAAGGACTTCAACTCTTCGTAACAAATATATTGCTTTCGCCACTCAGGAGTCAAATGGCTAGCAAGCTGCTCACCAAATTTCATTTCTGAAATGAATGAACATAAATTTTTTTGGTCCCTTTCTTTTTGCTGGACGTCTCCTAATCTAATTCTTAATAATTCATTGTTGTTTAGTTTACTGATAACTACTTACGACACGTCCATCCCCGCTACCGAGGTCGACTATAGGAGAAAATAAAGACGATTTTTTTAGAACTTTAGCAACATTTTCAAGCTGTGACTTCGTTGCAGGTACATATGGGATACAAACTTTGCGCAAGGCAGGAGTGACGAAAGGAATACTAACAGCAGTGAGTGCTAAAGCACTAGCCCCAAACGCACCAGCAATTAAAAGGCCATTAATACCCATAGCAAATTAAGTACTTGAAACCTGTAAGTAATATCAATTTGCAGTCTGTAAAGGCTAAACAGAAACCCCACTCAGCTAAATTGGTAACTCATATAATTCGATAACCACCAATGTCTTGAAAAGCCCTGAAAACAGAAAAAACAAAAGCACTACTATCCCTTCTGCTATAAAGTTCCCGTCCTCTGCGCTTAACTTCACACCAGTTTCTATAAACACTTCAGACTCCTTTTATACGTCAATAAAATCTTTTCGAAATAAATAACTCGAGTTGTTTTCCCAAAACTGTCTGCATAGCTGTTTTATAAAAAAAAAAGCTCCTTAAATGAACAACACATACAGAAAATGCTGATTCTTCTAACAGTTGAGAGCTCCTCTCAAAATAAGTAACACTTTAAAAAAAAACGAAATTTATGTAACACTTAAAAGCAAGCAACTTCGCTGCTAAGATAAAATGCTGACCTGAGTAGGGAGAAAAACTTATTGGTAAAATTTAAAATCTGCAACGACAAGCGTTTATCCAGATAAATCGTATAATCCTGCATGACTACAAACAATTTTTGTGTTTTGGTAAATTATTTTGCAAACACCCTGATAGATTTTCATCAAAATCACATTGTATGAAGAAAAAACTGAAGCGTAATGTGTTTCATAGAGTAATTTAATAATATAATTATTGAAAAAATCATGGTTGTTAAGGAAGAAAAAAGTGATAAATCAATAAATGTTACGCAAACAAATAGTTTAATTTTAATGAGCAATAAAGAAAAAAGAAAACATTTTTGCAGGCACAGGACTTTCACAAAAAACCCAAAGCCTCAACTTCCCCGTACCTGTTCACTTTTCAAATCCGGAAAACAAGAAAGAGTAACTACATCCTGTTACACTATACTGTTCTATTTGTAATTCAGAAATTTTGAGACGGAAAAACAATATTTAAAAAATTAAAAAAGAAATATTAAATAGTGTGAAAAATGACATATCTTACTAGCTTTAAGATTAAATGCAATACTTGAAGACTTCAGGAATAGACGACAAACCGGCTCCTAAATGCTGTTATTAAAAAGCTGAAAACCCACTCTTAAACGGTTGATAGAATTATTGCGTTCACCACTGTAGAAACAATATCAATTTAACAAATTTAAAAGATTCATATCACAACAAAAAACAGTATACAAAAAGTCTGCACAACAGGAATACAGAAATATCTGACTTAAACTTAAAAAATAAACTGTGACCTTTCCAAAATTTGGAAAAGAAATCTGTATTTACCCTATAGTTTTTGAAAGTCCAGTTCGCTTTACTGCTTTGGAATACCACATCCAGAATTCATGACACCCCGAAAACAAATTTAAGATTTCCTTCAAGTACTAAAAGCTTTTAACATCACTAAACTTAGAAATCTTTTCAGTGTCCAAAACGTCACCATGCGCACAAATATTGCATAATTTGAAACATATAAGTTAAAAACAGCACTGTTCTTTACCTACTACTTTTATAACAAATAATTTTTCTTACCCAAACCTGTACCTTCTGAACTCATCGAAATATATGATTTATGTTTAAGACTTTTTAAACGATTAAAATACGATCTACTCCAAACCGTGAAAATTTCTACTTGTCGTCAAAGTAATATTATCTGATAAAAATACCGCGCTGTCCCTCAGCATCGTCTGCTTTTTAATATGCTCACGGCGCAGATAATAACACTATTCTCCAATTTTCTTTAGCCGCCTTGCATCTCCCCATCTTTCGATACAGAATTCTACGTTCCCATCTCTTGCCAAATGTAGTTGTGGGATAAAATGAAGCACCCCCTGCCTCTACTAAAACTTAGCAATTCGCAATCTCCTCTTTCCGTTCTAGTGCGCTTAAGACAATTTGTTCGCATTAAAATGCTTTTAAAACTTTTAGTAAATTGTTTCAAATCTTCTTCCGACAGAAGAGTTAAGAAGAAGGAAAGATGCTCAAAATAACTGACTCTAATGCTAATCAAACAACTTACGGTCTCATGCCACTAACATAGTATTACAACGTAGAAGTGAAGGTAAACAAAACGACCGAAATG